GCTTGTTAATGTTAGCTATATAATTTTAGTTTATGAATATTGTGATGGTTTCTCTCATCCTATATTGGTGCATGGAAAATTGCAAGGGAGTTAATACTGCCCTATCTATACTGAAAGCTTAAATAACCATTATGATATCATTAATTATGTATGTGATGTGACTAATTTATTAGATAATTAATATATGTTTTTATTTTGGGAATTATTTCTTATAGGAAGTCGTAATTTTTGGACAGAGGCTACTATCTTTTTTGCATTAAAGCTATACAAATAGAAACCATTTATCTATTTTGAGCAGGTCATCAAAGGGTGGGATCAGGGTATTGTAGGTGGTGACGGAATTCCACCCATGCTTGGAGGTCAAATTTTCTCACATTCTCTATTCACCCTTTGAAATGGATAAACATCAGTTCATTGATTATCAACATTTGATTATGCAGGTGGGAAAAGAATATTGAAGATTCCTCCGCAACTTGGTTATGGCTCCAGAGGTGCTGGGTGTAGAGGAGGTGCGGTTCTTAGGAATTGTTAATCTTGCGGTTCTTAGGAATTGTTAATTTTCGAAGACCTAGTATATCTATTGCTCCTTTTTAATATAAATATTAGCTCAGTGTTACATGGACACTGAAATGGGTGTTGTGTTTGTTGCATGCCTCAAGTCTAGTACTTTGGCTTAAAAGGTTAGACACGCCATGACGCATTTGTACTCATAGTTTTTCATTTTTTAAATACGATATATTTATTGATGAGAATACACACACACATATAGTTTGAAGATTAAAACAATTGAAAAAATAAAAAATTCTTCTTTGTAATAAAATTTTATTTTATTTTATTTTTCTAGATCCCAAAAACAAAAAGGTGTATCCTCTAACAAACAAAAACAAAATAAGATAACATATACGAATTATTTATTTTTTATATTTGTTCCATAATTTTGTCAGAAAGAAACTCAGTGACAAATATAATTTCCAACTGGAATACGTATGAGTTAATTTTCATTCCCTATTAGTTAATCTTATTTTTATGGTCACTGTGTGTTTTATGGTTAGTGTCTTAGAACTCCTGGCTTAAATAATTTAAATTAAAAGGAAAAGAAAAATAAAAACTAGCATGTATTCAATGTTTAAAGTAATATCTTTAACTACTATCTTAATTTTGAAAACTATTCCATATGCAAATCAGAGAGTTATCCTGTTTTACTCAAATGCATAAATTTTGAAAATACTTATTTAAGAAGAAATGAATAAAATGTTGCTAAGAATTATTGTTATGCGTAGTTCTGTGATAATTATCTAGTTTATTATATTGTCAACAATGCCTTTGTTTTTGGAGTTCTATATATGATTCACCTATCAATAAATCACTACAGCTTAAATAGCACAATTGTAAACCTTACATTTTTCAGTTTTTAACTCAAGAGGTCTAGAAATCAATTCCTGTCAGGGCCCTTTTTTTGTTCCAAGGACATGGCACCTAATGTCTGAAATATAGGCACTCCTGTGGGAAGTGTCTGTACTTCAGGAATGCCTCTCACCTAGCCTGACACATACACTCACATACAGACCAAGTGTCCATCCCTTGTCGGGGAGTGTCAACATTATCTCAACATACAATGCCAAACGAAAGACAAGGTGTCTAAGTAACACTGCTTTAGCTTCTCTTTGTAAAATTTCCTCCAGTGTGCTTCAAGTTTTCATTTTGTGCTCTTCTTGGAAATGTACTTTCACTGCTAACCTTTTCTATAACTTAGAAAATGTTTCCTATCTGGTAGCTTCATATTCTCTCTACTATGCAAACAGAAAACATTGATAGCACAGAGAATGTATGGAGTGGCTTGCCTGAGATTCAGAAATAGATTTAGGGTAATCTAAATCTTTTTCAGAAATTTAGCCTGATATTTCGAACACGTAACCTCAATCATAGGAAATTATATGATTTTTATCAAATAGTAAAATCTTTGACAACTTCAGTGTAAGGATAGAAAGAATGTGAGAAAATGTCATTTGGGATCCTTCAAAATTATATATTGTTGTTTAACTTGAGTGAACTTTGTACTTAGTAAGCGATAGAGTATTTATCTTATATGTTCCGCTAAAGTTCTAATGAATGGAAAATTATATGCATTTTAAAATTTGGTTACTTGATTGAATTGGAGCTTTTCCTTATTTCCTCAACCAAAGTGTGACTAGTTTGGCTGGCATTTAACCGTTTATCGTGAAAATGTTATAAAGAAATCATTTATTTTCTGTGTCATTTTCTATTATGTTTTTTGAGGTGCTTCTCTCTTTTTTGGTTAAATAGCTGATTCTCATGAGCTGCACTCTATAACTTATACAGGTTCATGTGTCATTCCACCTGATTCAGTTCTTTTATTTGATGTCGAGTTCATTGGCAAGGCCTGAGATATGGCGGATACAAGGTACTGTGGCTACAAAAGCTCTGATTTTCATTAAGGATTAGTGAATGCAATGTATATGTAATTTCCACTGATCGAAAGGTTCTTTACAAAGATTTTGAAGGACTTCCTTATAAAGGCTGCTAAATAATAGTTGCTGTTTGACCCTGGAACTTTTTCTCAATCTCAACCATCACACTCATTGGTAATAACTATATATCAGTGTAAGTTCTATGTCATGACCCTTTTACTGTGCATGTCTATTTCAAATGAGTTGGAATTGCCTATGTGTATGTTTTCTTTGTGCATTCAAATGTAAATAAACTGGAATTAAAGAATTATATATTCTGTGAGAATCTTTCATATTCTCTTACATTTCATATCATTCCAGTGTTCAGCAGCAATTTTATTTGGCCTGTTAACTATTTTCTATGTGAATAGGTTTTTAAGTAATTGTATCATCTGAAGTTTTCCATGAAGTGGCCAAAGTTTTTTATTACTTTTTGGAGGTACATATTTTAATAAAGTTGTGTTGTTATCTGAATGAGTTAAGAAATCAAGTTGTATTGTTATCTGAACGAGTTAAGAAATCAAATTGTTTCTGAATTAGTTGAGAAATCAAATTCCCAATAAGATAAAAATGAAGTTGAGAAATCACTTCTATATATGCCTGTTGAGTGAATAAAGCCATATTGTAACTTTGTTTAGTCACTCTTCTATTCACGTTCCTGGTATTTTAGTCTTGCTCATCTTAATTGGCTAGTTGATTATGTTTTTTAAGTCACCATTGACCTGCCTGGTTGTTTCCTGCAGGATTTGAGAACTGACTAAATATTTTAACTAAGCAGCCTTGTATTCTTCAAGCAAAGCATTATGTTTCAAGTGGTGATTTTAGATGTATTGTATTTTTCTGTTGTTTTTGCTTTTATTAGTCACGATTTACATTTTATGTTCTCATTTTCATTGGGTGTTATCTTATCTCCATGACTTTGATCTTTCCTCATTTTCAGGAATTGGATTCTATTGTATGCTATTAGGTTTTAACATTAAATACCAAATGCTACACTTAGATCACTGGAATAACACATACATGAGTTTTAGGTAGGTCAGAACACGCGGAGCCCTTCTCCAGAAGTGGTTTGCTTAAATGTTGGTGGCATATTGTTGCAAATTGTTGCATCCATACATGCCCTTGACTTTCATGAATGTTCCAAGGGTTCTTTTTGGCTTAAGCACCTACTTTAAAGTTCCAACAAGTAGTCCCTTGTGTCAAGAATTGGATATTATGAATATATTTATTAATGTATTAAATGGACAGAAATATGTATGACTGCCTTATCTCCAACCACTTGCCAATAAGGCAAAAGCACACAGACACCCCCGAAAATGGACAGAAATATTCACCTCCAAAAATACAGAGACAGAAATATCCTCAGGCATATCACTAATTACTCTATTGCCTATACATGCAGGAGAGCACAACATCTCTCACCTCTTCAAACTCAAATTGGATGATTGACATCGATGGTGTTTTGTCGACTAGAAATATCTGGCAGTTAGTAGTCATGGCTTTTAGGAATGAATTCCTTATCTAATAATGTGAGGAGGGAGTCTATGGAAGATTTATAACCTTTCGTAACATCTTCTCTTAGATTAAATGACAATCGGCCTTATTGTGCTTAGTTTGTTCTTACAATACCAGAGTACCATTAGTGCTGTCCCCATGGAAGATGGATCATATGATCATGCAGTTATCTTCAAGTAGTGCTATAACTTCACTAAATTAATAGAGGTAGCCATGCATACTCTTTGCCCCCGATCAAACTACTTCACTGATAATTCATAAACAACAGTTCGAGCAACCCTTTTTGCATGTCAAAGATATGACTTTTGAGCTAAGAAAACACTAAACCGAGTTTCCAGTCATCCCAATTACGATCAGATGCCTGAGTAGAGTGGAATGGTCCATGATCGCATCACCACCATGAAATATATCCTAATTATTGGATACCTTTGACTTTTAATTGTTTCTTTCGACAAGTGTCTATAAACTACTGCTCTGAAGGAGGATCTTAGCATTCATATTTATAATCTGTGGCCTTTTTGCAGATTTTAGCGTATTCCAAGAAGAGACATCTTGGATATATACAGTCAAGTTCAAACTCTCAGACTTTAGCTGTTGCATGTATAACCTTCAGTGTGTATGAAAATCATATGCAGCAGTTGGATTTGGCATGAATTTGATCTTTATTTTTTATATTTTATCTGAGATTTAAACTATTTATCTGATGTTTGAACTAAGATTGGCCTTTGAAACAGTTGGAACAGGGTTTCTGAGTATTAGATTAGTGTCTTCTAATCCTGGGTTTTGTTCAATTCAAATCCTAGGTTCTCAGTTTTTTTTTTTCCCTTTTTCTTCTTCTTTTTTTTTTTTTTTAAACTTGTTGTTTAGTTCCTGGATTTTCTAAATCTGTCTAAATTCACCTTGAAAGTGTTTCTAAAGATTGTGGGGCGCATACTTTTAGTTTATTTAGGAAAATAATTGAAAAGTTGCAGCTAATTTCTTTGGAATAAAACCCATGATTTTCATTTTTCCATAATTTCCCAATAAATCAAATCTTCCATTTTCAAATCAAAACCAAAGTTTTCCAATAAGTAAATAATAATTAAATAGTTTCAAAGCTGTTAGTAGAAAAGCTTTGGAAGATGTTTCCTTTTAATGAATGGTAGGGCTTGATGCTGGTGTAACTAGTTCCAGGATCTGGAGTATACACAAATGGTTGAATAACATGCAAGTAAACAAACAAGTGTATGGCGAAGTTGGAAGAAAAAATGCACTGAAATCTATATATATGCTTTAGCTAATCCTACACTTGAATACTTCATCTAAAGCCTACTACCCAACCTTATATACTTCGAATGGGAGTCTGCACTCTTTGATACCCTAAACGTGGTTAAAGAGGGACAATAAACCTTGTCAAATTCCTATAGCATGGCAAGTTTGATCCTACACAACCTAAGCATTTCACCCGGCCTCAAAAGTCCCCAAATATGGGAAAATGACCTGGAGTTACGTTTGGGCTCCCCAAAACTAGATTGGAAGCAGCCTTTTCTAAATCTAAGTCCTAATCTATTCCAACTATTAGGGCAAATGCTCTAAAAGCTTGAACCAGGTTTCGATCGGTTGCATGCTAAATTGGTTTAGATCAACAATTCTGATTGATATTGTGGGTCGGATCGGTGTATGGATGGATATAACTAAAATAGATAAAAAAAAGGAATTTAAAACTTGAAGGAATCACGTGATTCTTGGCTCCCTGTGAGATCGTCTCTACTGGTTCCACCATGATTCCAGTTCCACCAACACATTTTAAAACCCTGGTTAAGGGTTTCAAGTGAAAACCTGGTCTAGGGTTGATAGCAAGCTTATGTTAACGGAAAAAAGAGAGTTAATTGATTGAACGAAGGAGAGGCTAAAATTTAGTGAAAAGAGAGAAAAAAAATTTATTCATAAACAATCCAAAGCAATGATAATTTTCCATTTTATAAAGGAGATCCAGGGGAATCACATGGAAGAAAGATGCTTCCCCACCAACCATCGTACATATTCCAACAAAGGTCGGTGTTGATTGTGCTGTCTAGGCCACTCCATTGTAGAATTATGTAAGAGAAAGTATATAATAAGGCCGTTTATTTTTGGTACAAAGTAGTTTTAATTATCATTGACTGTTGGATGTGAAATTGAGTGGTTGCATTTATTTCATTGATTAAATTCAAAGTTCAAAAAGTTTTTTTTTTGAACTTTATGACACATTTAAGCTATCAGATTTCACATCATATGGTTGTAAGTTATTGTGATCTTCTTGTACAAAAGATAAACGGCCTCATTTGTACATAATCTCATTATGAAATTCAACGCGTTTCACTATCAATTTTACAAGGGATTTAAAAAATTATAGGTTTTGTGAAAGAAATAATTTAAAGATATTAGGTGTCAAAATAAATGTGTATCCACTTTAGATCATGAAAGAAAACAAATGTATAGGACAAAAATTGGAGCAAAAGTCCCATTCCGGATATTGATGTGTGCTGATGGCTTAGCCAATGGAAACTCTCACTTAATGGGTTAAGATTACGTAATATGATTCGATCATCATGGAGTGTTTACCATGCATAATTTGCACCTATCATTGTGTGGGTTAATTAAAATGTGTATTCAATTACTAGTAAAGAGCATATGGCATGGTTCCACAATGTGCCGTCAGGTAAATGATTTGTTTAGAGGTGTTTTATTAAATAAAGTTTTGGGCTCCTTTTGAAAAACCAAAAAGAAAAGGCTTTTGACTTTTTAATTTTAAAATTGGATGGTTTATTTTTTAATCTTGAAACATTATTTCTTTTAGGCAGTAATAGTACATTTTTTTTTTTCTTTTTTTGGAAAGGGACGTTGATGTGTTGGTTGAAGTCGCAATGTTGGGACCTCAAAATACTCGTGGAGGACCCCTTTTACAAGAGGGAGCATATAGACTTTTAAACGAAACCTGATGCAAATTATAACTTGCAAAAAGGACAAACATGAAAGTATAGTTTTCAATGATCGATAAACAAATTTCCTTGGTGCCATCATGAAGATTTTGTGGATTCAATAAAGTGGATGTGGAAGTTCTAAAAAGATAGTATGGATTCACGATGCGGCGGCTTATTTGTTTATCATTCTTTTTAACTGGTTTCTAAAACATCCAGGATTTAAGAGATGGAGCTCCATATATAGGGGTTATTTGGGTTGTTTGGCAAGCGAAAACTGGAGAGTAAAAGAGGACGATAAACAAACTATGTAGAGGGTTCTTAGGAAAGTAGTTTGGATGATCAAGAATAGCATCCTGAAATCCTACCAAGGAATGAGAATGAATGAACCATTCATAGAAGATGGGAAATCAATCTCCAAAGCTCTCTTGGGTAATTTACGGATCATGCGGAGAGGACCTTATGTTGTATGTTGTGCTTTGATACCAATTGTTGTGTGCGGAAGCTCTAAACTTGACGGGTTGATTTTTGAAAAATAAAGTATGAGAAATAAAATATGAAATACGCATCACAATAAACATAAAGATTTATGTGGTTCACAAAAAGTTCTTTTGGGTAATTTATGGATCACGTTGAGAGGACATTATGTTGTGCTCTGATACCACTTGTTGTTTGTGTGCGGAAGCTCTAAACCTGATGGGTTGATTTTTGGCAAAATAAAGTTCGAGAAATAAAATATGAAATGTATACCACAATAACACAAAGATTTACGTGGTTCACCCAAGAAGGCTACGACACGGCAAATATAAATTCAATTTACCAATGAAAATTACATCAAAGATTTTGAAACAAACCTCGACAAACAAAATTCCACTATACTAATGGAAATACGCCATGGCAAATAGAAATCCAATTTACCAATGAAAATTACATCAAAGATTTTGGATCAAACCTCGACAAACAAAAATCCACTATACCAATGAAAATTACATCAAAGATTTTGGCACAAACCTCGACAAAAATACAGTCGAGCAAACCTTTTTAAACCACTCTCTCTTCTTTCTCTTTACTTCTGGCAACCATTACCAACAACACCAGATAGAGATGCAACGAGAAACTCACTTTCTCTCTAACGAAAAGGGGAACGACTCAAAATCTCTGGCAACCATTGCCAACAACACCAAATAGATACGCTTCTCTCTAACTAAAAGGGGAACAACTCAAAATCTCTGGCAACTATTACCAACAACACCAGATAGAGACGCGAGGGCAACAAAAAACTTACTTTCTCTTTAACTAAAAGGGGAACAACCAAAAATCTCTATGGGAACCGTTTCTCTACAAGAAACAAAAAACTCTCTCAATCTTTGATAATCTAAAAGGGGTACCATTACAATATTTCTGTCCAAAAGAAGCTTAATTGTTTTCTCTCTGAGAAGAAATTGCATCTTATGAACAAGAGGCTCTAGCTCCTTCTCT